TGGGAATGTTATGTGGATCAAAAGTGTTTTTGGGAATGGTATGTGGATCAAAAGTGTGTTTAGGAATGGTATGTGGATCAAAAGTGTTTTTGGGAATGTTATGGATCAAAAAAGTGTTTTTAGGGATGTTATGTGGATCAAAAGTGTTTTTAGGAATGTTATGTGGTATCTTGCAATAACTGGTGCTGTGATTTTTTTTTATTAATGGTGATTGTAATATCCGAGTCGGCCGGTTTGTCTGCATGATAAGGCACTGTTTGCGGTAAAGGAAGACCGTATTATAGCGTTGTTTAGGGGAAAAAGGTGACCAGGATTATGTTGGCGATTAATTAAAGGTCTGAGCACATGCAACATACAAGCTCAAGGGAAGCACGTAAACAGAGGCTAATTCTTATGAGTTTTTTCTAAGAATAGATATATAAAGCCATATATTAGCATGGACACACACAAAGCTTACACAAAATACACACTTAAAATACACTTAAACACAAACAAAACGATGGTGTACTTATCACAAAAAAGATAGAAAAATAGAATAGGTTTTATTCAGCTTAAGCTCATAACTCCGTGAACTGAAAAAAATATATATGTATCATATTCATACTATCATAATAACCTAACCTATATAAATCATTTACATTCAAAGTCAGTCAAAACACTTTATTCCATTAATTACAATCGTTATTCTTTACATAAATACATTCATATTTACAAGCCTGCACCGCCATTTTTTTTTTTTTTATTTCTTTCATTTTTGCGGTTTGCACTATACATTTTATACTGGTATTTGTTTTTACTGTAAAAAATATAAAAAGAGAATGAAATTCTGCAATAGCATGACGAGCATTATTTAATTGTAGGCCTATTGATTCAAGGATTCTGGCACAGCGACTGAAAGGGGAGGCATGGGCTTATTATTAATATCGTATGTGCTTTTGGAGGTGTAATTAGTGTACACACGGACGTAAAATGTATAGAATAATAAGATTCGTGTTTGTTATTAAAATCATGTTTGATATGATTTGTGTTGTAGTTTATATGACGTCTGAACGGTACAACTGTGTGCTCGAGGTGTGTGTTATTACTCTCTCTCTTTCTTTAAATCTTCCTCTTTCCTTCTTTTCTTTCTCTTCTCTTTCTCTCTCTCTCTCTCTCTATCTCCTCTCTCTCTCTCTCTCTCTCTCTCTCTCTCTCTCTCTCCTCTTCCTCCCTCCCTCCCTCCCTCCCTCTCCTCCTCCCTCCCTGCCTTCTTCTCCTCCCTCTCTCCTCCCTCTCCCTCCTCCCTCTCCTCTCTCTCCCTCCCTCCCCTCCTCTCTCCTCCCCTCCCTCTCCTCTCCGTATCCTCTCTTCCTCTCCGTCTCCCTCTCCCCTCTCTCTCCCTCTGCTCTCCCTCCGTCCCTCTCCCTCCCTCTCCCTCGTCCTCCCTCTCCCTCTTCTCCCTCCCTCTCCTCTCTCCTCTCCTCTCCCTCTCCCTCTCTCCCTCCCCTCCCTCTCCCTCCCTCTCCTCTCTCCCTCTCCCCTCCCTCCTCCCTCCCTCTCCCTCTCTCTCCCTCCCCCTCCCTCTCCTCTCCTCCGTCTCTCTCCTTCTCCCCTCTCCCTCTCTCTCTCTCCCTCTCCCTCTCTCCCTCCTCCTCCCTCTCCTCTCTCCCTCCCTCTCCCTTCTCTCCTCTCTCTCCTCTCCCTCTCTCCCTCTCTTCCCTCTCCTCTCTCCCTCTCCCTCTCCCTCTCCCTCTCCCTCCCTCTCCCTCTCTCCTCCTCCCTCCCTTCTCCTCTCCCTCCCTCTCACCTCTCTCTCCCTCCCTCCCTCTTTCCCTCTTCCTCCCTCCCCTCTCTCCTCTCTCTCTTCCCTCTCCCTCTTCCTCCTCCCTCTCTCCCTCTCCCTCTCCCTCCCCCCTCTCCCTTTCCTCTCCTCCTCTCCCTTCCCCTTGTCTCATAAGGCGAGACTTTCGCAGCCATGAAGTTGTTTTCTCGTCTCGCAGTTTTCAAACAGGATGAAAACTTTTACTGTGTCTTGTCAGTTTAAGTTGGAAGCCATAATTAACACTGGTGAACTTGAAGATAATTTATTTCTTGGTGTATTTTGAAGATGTATGTGTTTTTTGTTTTGGTTTTTCGTTGTCTCGCTGTGTAATGATAATGGTATTGTAAAAATAACAAACAAAATCTACTGTAAATCCACACAATTACTATTGTTGTTGTAGATATTATCGTTATCATTATTGTTTCTGCTGTTCTTATCATTATTATGGGTTTTTTTTTTTACATTTTTTTTATTGTTTATTGTTACTGCGTTTATTTTGAATATTTTCATTTCTAATTGCCAACATTATTATTTTCACTGTTTTTATCATTCTTTATATATTAATTTGTCGGTGTTGTTATTATTCTAATTTTATCACCCCCTGTTTTCGACATCACTATCAGCGATGTAGCTCTAATTATCAGATAATTGATGCAGTTGGGATCTTTGTTATTGAAGTTGTTATTGGTTTATTTCAAATTGTCGTTGTTATTTGTTATTATGATCGTTGTTTTTGTCGTGTCGTGATGATGTCGACAATGATTAGGGTGACAATAATGATGATGATGATGAATGGAGTGAAATGATGAATGATGATGATGATGATACATGATGATGATGGTGATGACAGTAATGATGATGATGATGAATGACAATGAACAATGATGATGATGTAATGATGATGACAATGATGATGATGATAGATGACAGTAATGATGATGATGATGATGAATGATGACAATGATGATGATGATGACAGAATGAATGATGAATGATGACAATAATGATGACAGTAATGAGGAGGAGGAGGAGGACGATAATGATGATTTTGTTATCATTGTTATTATCATCATCGTCACCATTATCATAATAATTCTAATTGTTATTATCACTTTATCACCATTGTTGCCGTATACCATCTTCTTTTTTTATTGATATTTTTGGCTTCTGCATTTAGATAATCCGTACTTATGCAATGATGTTATCTTACATCACTATTTCTCTCTATATGACATCATTATATATTGGCATCAAAATTACACAACCCATCATAATTTAAGACAAAGCATCGTCATTACACAGCGTAATCACTGCGTAATCAGACCATATCAAATGACTATCAAATTTCTGTGTCTGTCTGTGTGTTTGTACTTCAATTTGAGAACCAGGCACTGTATCATCATGAAAGCTGGCAGGTATATTGTTCATGGAGCGACCGAAGTGCAGTGCTAACTTGATGGGATGAGTGGCTCTCACAAAACAAGATAGAAAAATAGAATAGTTACCCCTTCTAGTGCGGCCGAGGGGGAAATGGAAGCAAGGGACCGTTGGACAGAGGGGGAAATGGAAGCAGGGATCGTTGGACAGAGGGGGAAATTTGTTGGACAGAGGGGGGAAATGGAAGCAAGGGACCGTTGGACAGAGGGGAAATGGAAGCAAGAAGCCGTTGGACAGAGGGGGAAATGGAAGCAAGAGGCCGTTGGACAGAGGGGGAAATGGAGCAAGAGGCCGTTGGACAGAGGGGAAATGGAAGCAAGGGACCGTTGGACAGAGGGGGAAATGGAAGCAAGAGGCCGTTGGACAGAGGGGGAAATGGAAGCAAGAGACCGTTGGACAGAGGGGGAAATGGAAGCAAGAGGCCGTTGGACAGAGAGGGGAAATGGAAGCAAAGAGGCCGTGGACAGAGGGGAAATGGAAGCAAGAGGCCGTTGGACAGAGGGGGAAATGGAAGCAAGGGACCGTTGGACAGAGGGGGAAATGGAAGCAAGAGGCCGTTGGACAGAGGGGGAAATTTGGACAGAGGGGGAAATGGAAGCAAGGGACCGTTGGACAGAGGGGGAAATGGAAGCAAGGGACCGTTGGACAGAGGGGGAAATGGAAGCAAGGGACCGTTGGACAGAGGGGGAAATGGAAGCAAGAGACCGTTGGAGAGGGGAAATGGAAGCAAGAGCATGGGGGGAAAATGGAGCAAGAGGCCGTTGGACAGAGAGGGGAAATGGAAGCAAGAGGCCGTTGGACAGAGGTGAAATGGAAAGCAAGAGCCTTGGACAGAGGGGGAAATGGAAAAGCAAGAAACCGTTGACAGAAGGGGGAATGGAAGCAAGGACGTTGGACGAGAGGCGAAATAAGCAGAAGGCCGTTTGACAGAGGGAAATGGAAGCAAATGCGTGGAACAGAGGAAATGGAGCAGCATGATGCCGTTGACAGGGGAATGGAAGCAAGAGTCCTATGGACAGCAGGGAAATGGAAGCAATCGAGACCGTTTGGACAGAGGGGAAATGGATCAAAGAGCCAATGGACAGAGGAATGAAGCAAGATGCCGTTGACCAGAGGGGAAATGGAAGCAAGAGCCCGTGGACCAGAGGCGAAATTGCAAGCAAAGCGTGGACAGAGGGAAATGGACAGCAACTGCCGTTGACAGATGGACAATCGTAAAGCACTAGGCCGTTGGACCAGATGGACAATGAAGCAAGAAGGCCGTTGGACAGAGGAAAATGAAGCAGAGGCCTTTGGACAGAGGGCGACAATGGAAGCAAGACCGTTGAAGAGGGAAATGAGCAAAGGCCGTGGACAGGGGAACATGGAAGCAAGAGCCTTCAACAGAGGGAAATTGGACAGCAACGACGTGACAAAGGAGATGGGAAGACAAACGTTGACCGTTTGTTACAGAGGAAGGAAAGAGAGCAATAAGAGGCCGTTGGACAGAAGGGAAATGGAAGCAAATATAGCCGTTGGACAGAGGGGACAATGGAAAGCAAATGCCGTTTTTGGGACAGAGGGGGAAATGAGCAAAAAGAGGCCGTTGGACAGAGGAGGAAAATCAGAAGCCAACATGCCTTGGACAGAGGGAAATGAACAAGATGCGTTGACAAGAGGGGAAATGGAAAGCAATGCAGGGCCGTTGACAGAGGGGGAAAATGGAAGCAAGATTTGCGTTGGGACAGAAGGGGTAAATGAAAGCAATATGCCGTGGACAAGGGAAATGGATCCAATTTTCTTGTTTTTGTGTATAGCTGTAGTATGTGTGCCTGTGTGCGTATGTAGTGTGTGTGTGTCTTTTTAATCAGACATTGTTGTGCTTATATATGCAACATTTTGATTATAAAAAAAACGACCTCTGTATAAAGTTTCCCCGGAGCAAATCATGCCTTAAACCTCAACAAACCGATTTTAACGGGCACCGCGATGGTATTTATAAACAGTTTGCAGTATAATAAACCAGCACAACGCAGATAGGGAAGAACTGAGGGAGAAAAATATTGATGATGTATATTTATAAATGATAATAATAGAATACAATTATAATCTATATATACATACTTTATAATAATATATATTATATATATAATTATATATATACTATAATATATACTGATATAATATATATAATCGGTTATATGTTTGGAAATGAAGAATATGATAACTAAGAGAAAATAAAATGAATTTTGGAGTTTCGTGCTGTTATTGGTGGTGGGGGGGTATGATGTGGTGATAAATAGTGAGATGCGTGTGTTATGTAATGTGTTTTGTTGTATGTGTGTTTAAACGTGGTATGTGTTGTGTACGTGCTTATGGTGTGTTGTACGCGTTTGTGTATCGTTGTGTGTACGTGTCTGTCTTCTATGCACTTTTTTTATGTTATACTGGTTATGTATGTGTATGCCTGTTATATAGTTAGCTATGATGTATCCTTGTATATGTATGTATGTATGGTACATGCCTGTGTTATGTATGTCATTGTGTTATTGCCTGTCTTATGTATTATGTGGTTACGCCTTGTCTATGTATGTATGTGCTAGCCTGTTTATGCATAGTTATGTTATGCCTGTGATTATTTGCTATTGTGCTATGCCTTGTATTATGTATGTGTATGCCGTGTTATGTTATGCTATGTGTATGCCTGTCATTATTTATGTAGGTGATATGCCGTGCTTATGTATGTATGTGTATGCCTGTGTTATGTATGTATGTGTTGCCTGTTTATGTATATTGTATGCTGTTGTTGTATGTGTATGCCTGTTATGTGTATGTGTATCTGTTTATGTTATGTATGTATGTGTATGGTATGCCTGTGTTATGTTATTTGTGTGTATGCCTTTCTTTTATGTATGTGTGTGTATGCTGTGTTATGTATTTGTATCCTTGTTATGTATGTTGTTGTATGCCTGTATGTATGTATGGTATGCTGTGTGTATGCATGTATGTGTATGCCTGTTATAGTATGTATCTGTATTGTATGCCTTTTATGTATGTATGTGTAATATGCCATGGTTTATGTATGTATGTGTATGCCTGTTATGATATGTATGGTATGCCTGTGTTATGTATGTATGATGTATGCCTGTGTTATTTTAGTGATGCATGTGTATGCCTGTATGTATTATGTAGTATGTGTATGCCTGTATGTGTGTATCTGTGTTATTGTATTGTATGCCTGTGTTATGTATGTAGTGTGTATGCCTGTGTGTATGTATGTAATGTATGCCTGTGATCTCAATAATTGTGTATGCCTGTTTATGTATTATGGTATGCCTGTGTTATGTATGTGTGTATGCCTGTGTTATGTATGATATGTGTAGTTATTACTGTACGTGTGTGCCTTTTATGTATGTATATGTCAATGTTATGTAATGTAATGGATTCCTGTTATGTATGTTTATGTATGGTGGTATGCCGTTTATATGCATATGTGTATTGTGCCTGTGTTATGTATGTATGTGTATGCCTGTGTATATGTATGTATGTGTTATGCCTTGATGTATGTATGCCTGTGTTATGTATGTATGTGTATACCTGTGTTATTACTGTATGTGTATCCTGGTGTTTATGTATGTAGTATCATGTGTTATGCCTGTTATGTATGTATGTATGTGTATGCCTGTGTTATGTATGTATGTTATGCCTTGTTAGTATGATATGTGTATGCCTGTTATGTATGTATGTGTATGCCTGCTATGTATGTATGTGCTATGCCTGCTTATGTATGTGTGCGTATGCCTGTTGATTATGTATGTATGTGTATGCCTGTGTTATACATATGCGCATGTGTGTGTGTCTGTCTGTCTGTCTCTCTCTTTCTCCGTCCGACAAGCTGTCTCTGTGGATGCATTTACAGCACAAACTATCTTCGCTATTCATGAGCAGTGGATACATCGCGCATCCAATGATAACTTAAACCCTTGTCCATCATATGTTGCAAGCGGTCTCAGCCTGCAAATGCAAGAGTATGCAAGAGAGAGATAGCTTTTTTTTTTTTTTTTTTTTTTTTTTTTTTTTGTCCGTGAAGCTAAACAGCGCGGGTTTTATAGCGAGCTGGAGTGTCCGCGGGATCCTCTGGGGGGGACTAATGTAAAACGCATAAAGATAAGACGGAGGGAAAGATATTGTTCCTTTCGTATGGAGATTTCTTGGCGGGATTTTTTTTTCTTTTGTTATTCTTTGTTGATTTCTTTGTTTTATGAGGCGGCGGATTTTTTTTATCTTTTTTTTAAGAAAGGCAAAAGATTCTTTTTTTATTTTTTTTTATCTTTTTTTTAAGAAATGGAGAGAGTATGTTTGTAATTGTTTGCATATAAGGATACAGAGACATAGAGGAGACAGACTGACACACTACCGATAGGAGACACACAGACACAGAGGAGTCAGACATGTACACAGATGAGACAGATACACGTACATAGACAACAGGAAACAGGCAGACACACGTACAACAGACGAGGAGGACCGACAAAACACACATAGACAAGCGGAGATACGCACACAACACATATTGTATGAGAGACACACACGCACACACATACACATACTGTATGAGACAGACACGCACACACATACACATACTGTATGAGACAGACACGAACACACATGCAGACATGGAGGAGACAGACACAGGCAATCAGACCCCCAAAACTTCTGAAAACAACTTCGCATTGGTTTTAATCTACGGTTTGTACTCGCCCACTTTCAATATCCGATGCCATTACTTCCCTTCTACCATCGTGGTTTCAATATGCCAGTTCGCAGTTATATCCGTAACTCTTCTTTGTCTGTGTGTGTATGTCTGTCTCTCTCCTCTGTGTCTGTGTATGTGGTGTGTTCTCCATGTCTGTTTTGTGTGTGTCTGTTTCTTCTGTGTCTGTGTCTATGTGTTGTCTGTCTCCTCTGTCTATGTGTTAGTCTGTCTCCTTTGTGTCTGTGTGTGTACCTCCTCTGTGTCTGTGTTTGTGTGTGTTCTCTGTCTGTGTATCTGTCTTCTGTATGTCTGTTTCATTTATTTATGTGCGTGTGTGTGTCTGCCCGGTCTATGTATGTGTCTCTCTCCGTCTCCTATGTCTGTGTGTGTCTGTCTGTCTCCCTATGTCTGCGTGAGCATCGATCAGTGAGGGAAGTCTTATGAAAGACCGTATATGTGGAATGTAAAAGTATTTAGTATCTCGGATGCATTTCGTTTTTTTTTTTTTTGGGGGGATGGGCAAGTACGTTCTTAGTTTTTTGTTTTTTTGTTTTTGTTTGTATTTTTATTTTTGTATTTTGTTCTTGGTGTACTGTACATGATTTTTTTTATTTCTGTTTTATCATTTCATGTTTATTATTGTTTCTATTATTCTTATGACCATTATCATCATTGTTATTGTCATTTATTATCATCGTTATCGTTATTATCATCATTTATCATCATCAATCATGATATTGTTGTTATTATTATTATTACTAGTAAACTATTATTATAAATATTTTATGGTGATGATGACGTAGAAATTTCATGAAGCATTTGACTTTTATTTATTTATCTAATTTGCATAATTGTCAAATTCTATTCACTTTTCATTTCATTTAGAATAATTAGTCATTAATATTTTACGTGCCTGATTATTCTAATTTCTCCCTGTTATGTTTTATTTTATTATTATCATTATTATTTTATTATTATTATTATTATTATTATTATTATTATTATTATTATTATTATTATTATTATTCTGCTTCGTTCTATCTTTCATTTTCACTTTTTGTTATGTTCTTTTTCGAAGAGCTTTGGTCAAATCATATTCGGTGTTGTTACAAGGTGGCAATTTACGTTTATATGAGATATATTGGTATTATTATTATGACATATGAACGGTGTAATATATGTATGGGTGCGTATAGATAGATGGGTAATTCGATAGATAGATGGAGATATTAGCTTTCGTTTTTCTTTCTTAAAATATTTTGTTTTATAAGTGAAGAAATTGCTGTGATAATTGTGGTTTTACATTAAAAGACTATTTAACTAAGTGTGATTGTATTATTATGTTCTGTTTTCTATTTGTCAATTGATAGAAAAAATAGATGTTTTAACCATTCTGCAAACTGCCATTTTATGATCATATATAAACCTCATTCTTCTAAGAAAACTTTTGTCATACCCTGTCGATTCAGTTAAACAAAGACAA